CACTGGAAGTTTTTAAGAAGAGATTGGATAATGATTTGTCTGAAATTGTATAAGGTTTCCTGCTTGAGCAGGGGCTTGGACTAGAAGATGTCCAAAATCCTTTTCCACTGCTATTCTATTCTGTTATTCAGAATGGATCGATGGTAAGGAAAATGCAGCTTACAAAATTGCTTGCAGCATCTTTATAAACAATTATTATTTCTGACATCTTTCTAGATACCTTCATCATGGAACAGATTGCTCAAAGGATGGGTGCATCACTTGCACGGAAATGACAAGAAAGAAAGAAAAGTAGGTAATGGCGCTGTTTATAATTTATTCAGTTATCCATTTGATGTACTTCGTGCCTTACTGTACAGAGGAAAGAGTACTCCAAGTAACTAGCCATAAAAAAAATAAAGCATAAAGAGTTGATGGTTGTTAAAGGTGTTTAGAATGGCTTTTAATTAATATAATCTTTAAAAGCTTATTTAAAAATGAAGATCTTGGGACCTCTTCAAAACCAGACACAGCAAGGCAATTGTGCAGTTTTTGATGCTGTTTTCCCTAATTTAGGACCAGCACAAAAGTCCCAGAAAACTCAAAAAGTGAGGCTATCTTCTCTCATTGTTCCCAAAGTTTCATGTTGAGAGAAGTGGCCCTCAGGTGAAGGGGTGGGCTTCAAAAATTTTAGCAAGGGGTTCTCTGCCCAGTTGCTGGGTGGGAGTGGCCATGGTAGGCGTGGCCTAGTTGGCCTCCTGCACTACGGTGTGTGTGTGTGTGGGGTGTTTTTGCCCTCCCTGGGTTCCGGAAGCTTTCCTTAAGCCTCTGGGAGGGTGAAAACGGCCTCCCCAGGCTCTGGAGGCCCTCTGGAGGCCGGAAATGGCCCCGTTTCAGGCCTTCCCAAACTTCCAGTAGGCCCGTTTTTCACCTTCCTGAGCCTCCGCGTGCGGCCTGCACTTACCTGCATCTAAAACGGGCCGCATGGGGACTCCTGGGATGGGAGGTGAGGGGTGGGCAGAGCCAGCCAGGAGTGGGATTTGGGGGTTCTCTGAACTGCACAGAATCTTAGCTAGAGGTTCTCTCGAAACCCTGCGAACCCCCAGCAGCCCACCCCTGCTCAGGTCTCTAAGCTGTTTGATAATTTAAAAATTAAACTAACCTAGGGATGTCTGTAAGAGTGTGTGTGTTTAAAAAAAAGGTAAGATGGCACCACCATCATATAATTGAAAGCTGCCCCCTTTTAAAAGTATGTTATATGTATGTATGTATTTATTCGATATTTATTCTGCCTTTAATACTTTATAAGTAACTAAAGGTGGTGAACATACCTAATACTCCTTCCTCATCCTCTTCCCCCTCACCCCAACAATCACCCTGTGAGGCGAGTTGGTGTTTTAACAACAATTTCAGCAGCTGGTGCAAATCCTTCATCACAGGTATAATATATTCTCTGTTTTGAGCATCAGTAAGCAGCCTGACTGCCATATTTTGCATCCAAAGATTGCATACATTTTGGTAATTTGTTGCTTGTTTTAGCTAGTGTAGTGATACTCCAATTGGCAGGGTTCTCACAACACACTAAGCCATAAACCACAGCTTGTGAGCCACAATGATTAAGTTATCACGAAGGTGATGCCAAACTGAAACGAAGGCCATGATGTTTGCATAGTTGGATAAAAGGGTCTGCCTGTTTCATATTGCCCCTTGTTGGGTGCCGATCAGAAGTGGTATTCAGCAGGTTCTGACCAGTTCCGGAGAACTGGTAGCGGAAATTTTGAGTAGTTCGGAGAACCAGCAAATACCACCTCTGACTGGCCCCGCCCCCATCTATTCTCTGCCTCCCGAGTCCCAGCTGATCGGGAGGAAATGGGGATTTTACAGTATCCTTCCCCTGCCATGCTCACCAAGCCATGCCCAAGCCAAGCCACGCCCACCAAGCCACGCCCACAGAACTGGTAGTAAAAAAAATTGAACCCCACCACTGGTGTCGACCAAATGGTAGTCAAGTCTCCAATCTCATGGAACTAACGTCCAAAAGACAGGCGGTAACAGACTGGAGAAAATTGTATTTTAGAAGACTTCTCCAACTTTCATTGGAGTTTATGCCAATTTCAATGCTTTCCTGAGCTGCAAACCTCTCTCCTTCAGAAGTTAGTGTTGAGTTGAGTTAAAGGAATTTGAAATAGCTATCTAATTGTGTTGTTACCCTTTGAGGCAACAATTTATTTATTCCATCTTCTTTATATCCCATCTTTTCAAGATGATGATGATAACAATAGCACTTAGACTTATACATCGCTTTACGGCCCTCTTTAAGTGGTTTACAGAGCCAGCATATTGCCCCCAACAATTTGGGTCCTCATTTTACCCACCTTGGAAGGATGGAAGACTGAGTCAACCTTGAGCCTGGTGAGATTTGAACTGCCAGCTGCAGGCAGCCAGCAGTCAGCAGAAGTAGCCTGCCATACTGCACCCTAACCACTGCGCCACTACGCTCGTATATGATGATGATTTATGATGATGATGATGATGATGGCGGCATTTGTGTTAGAAGCACCAAGGTTACAGGTTGGAAAGATTAGCTGGTGACATCACCATTGCCCAGGAGATGTCCAGTTGGGGACTCCTTACATATCCCCGGCAAGAGCTGGAGCGAAGGACATGAGCTCACCTGCCCTGAGACAGTGCTCGGGTCTCGAATGTGGGCTTGCTAACCTCCAACCCAGCATCTTAACCACGTTAGCCACCGTGCTCCTATGATGATGATGTTATCCATTCACTTGTTATCTTGGCGATTCCAATCTTGCACTACTTCTTTGAGTTGGTGGCTGGTGTTAGCTTTGATAGTGTCCAGCCATCATGTTCCTTGGCAACCTGGTTTTCTTTTACCACTAATTCTTCTCAACACAATTGCTTTCTCTAGTGAATTCCCCGGCATGCCATGGCCAAAATAAGTGAGATACTTTTTCAGCATAAGTTTGTGGCAGTGCCTTTATAATGTTCCCTCCTCAGATTTCTCTTTGCAAAGTCATCTGGGGCTCCCACTTAGCATTTCTCCAAACGTATGATTTGATTGCTTACTTATTTGTTCCCTATGACTATCATTAAGTGTTGTACCTTATGATTCTTGATGAATGTATCTTTTCTTTTATGTACGCTGAGAGCATATGCACTAAGACAAATTCCTTGTGTGTCCAATCACCCTTGGCCAATAAAGAATTCTATTCTATTCTATTCTAAACCACCATTTCTTTCTTCCACAGCAATAAAGCAGAGTTTGTTGACCTGTACTTTATTCAAGTGTCTCACATTGCCTTTCCATCATAACCTATCGCAAACCACATAATGGCCCACGCCCCCCTTTGCTCTTCCCTTTGGAAAAGAGAGTTATAATAACCCTCATTTTGCTGCTCAGCTTCGCTCATCCACTCGGCTGGAGGAAAGGCTGCTTCATCCACAGCTGGCCTTCCAGGGGAGCCCGTCCAGCTGTTCAATGTAAATTCAATATAGAGAAAAGTAAAGTCCTACACTTAGGCAAAAGTACATATGCAGATTGGGTAAAGCCTGGCTGAATAGAATAGAGTAGAGTAGAGTAGAGTAGAGTAGAGTAGAGTAGAGTAGAATAGAATAGAATAGAATAGAATAGAATAGAATAGAATAGAATAGAATAGAATAGAATAGAATAGAATAGAATAGAATTTTTTATTGGCCAAGTGTGATTGGACACACAAGGAATTTGTCTTGGTGCTTACGCTCTCAGTGTACATAGCAGTAACTGTGACCTTGGAGCCTTAGTAGACAATCCATTAAATATGAGTCAGCAGTGTGTGGTGGCAGCCAAAAAAGCCAATGCAATCCTACATTGCATTAACAGAGGGATACAATCAAGATCAAGTGATGTACTAATACCATTCTATAATGCCTTAGTAAGACCACACCCAGAGTACTGCATCCAGTTTTGGTCACCACACTATAAAAAGATGTTGAGAGTCTAGAAAGAGTGCAGAGAAGAGCAACCAAGATGATTAGGGGACTGGAGGCTAAAACGTATAAAGAACCGTTGCAGGAACTGGGCATGGCTAGTCTAATGAAGAGAAGGACCAGGGGAGACATGATAGCACTGTTCCAATATTTGAGGGGCTGCCACAGAGAAGGGGGTCAAGCTATTTTCCAAAGCACCTGAAGGCCAGACAAGGAATAATGGATGGAAACTGACCAAGGAGAGATTCAACCTGGAAATAAGGAGAAATTTTCTGACAGTGAGAGCAATCGATCAATAGAACAGAAGTTGCCTTCAGAAGTTGTGGAAGCTTCATTCCTGGAAGCTTTCAAGAAGAAGGAGGAGCCTGGATAGCTCAACATACTAAGCACTGTAATTTAACACCAGCTGTCTGCAATTAAAGTAAGATCGAATCTCCCCAGGCTCAAGGTTGACTCAACCTTCCATCCTTTCTAAGGTAGGTAAAATGAGGACCCAGTTTGGGGGGGGGGCAATAAGCTGACTTTGTATAAAAATATACAAAAGTATGAAGGCTATTGCTTAACGCACTATAAGCCGCCCTGAGTGTCCGGAGAAGGGCGGCATATAAATCAAATTTTAAAAAGAGAGACTGGACTGCCATATGGTATTATAGGGTCTCCTGCTTGGGCGGGTTGTTGGACTAGATCAGGGGTGGGCAAATATGGCCCCTTTACGACCTGTGGATTTCAACTCCCAGAATTCCTGAGGCAGCTTGGCTATCTCAGGAATTCTGGGAGTTGAAGTCCACAGGTTGTAAAAGGGCCACCCCTGGACTAGACGGCCTACAAGGTCCCTTCCCAAACGCTGTTATTCACCCCTGGCTCTTCTCTTCTGCCCCCCCCCCCCCCCCCCTGATCGCACCCCGCCCTCCACCCCGGTTGCAACCAACCCGAGCTAACAGCAGGTGGCTGCCCAATGATTGACAGGCCTCCCATGACGTCATGCAGGTGGGCCGGGCACCGGGAGGCGTTCTGTTGCTGCGGGTTTTGTACTGGAAAAGAGGCAGCGGCGGGTCCCGACACGGGGAGGGGCTGCTGGCTCCCCTCGGCAGCCCGTGAGGGGCGAGGAGGCAGCAGGACGGCGCGCCTGAGCGGTCAGACGCCCGCTTGAGGTTTCCTCAGCATCTTCAGCCCTGAAGAGCCAGCGGGGCAGGTCAAGAGAGAGGAGCCGACGAGGTCTCCGGGCGCCCCGGCGGGCAGGGCTGGGTCCTGGGCGGTGAGTAACCTTTGCTTTTCTCCCGCTTCTCCCTGGAGGAGTTGCAAGCCAAGAAGAGCCCGGGGGGAGGGGAGGGAGGGAGGGAGGCGTCCCGGGCATCGAAATAAATAAATAAAGGCGCCCACGCAGGACGCGGGAGGATGCGAGGGAGCCAGGCAGCCTTGCCTGCCTCCCGGGCTCTCTCGCTCCTCGCTTCCACACGAGGCGTCCCCGCAAGTCTTTCGAGCCAAGATCCGAGCTGGAAAGCCCAGAAGCGGAGCTGAGCCGGCGGCATCCCCAACGGGGTAGAGAGGCATGGCCGGAGAAGAAAAGGGCAGAGCTGTGGACCTAGGAGCAACCCAGTCCCGATCCGATGCTGGTTTGTTCCGAAAGAGACCCGTTCAGACGTGCCCAGAATGAATGACCCTGGTCACCAGAGCCTCCTTATCTAACCTGCCCCCCCAGCCCCATTTTGCTAAACCAGGGCAGGATATAAACCCAGATTTTTTTAAAAAAAAAATTAAGTCACCCCAAAACTCAAGAAGCCCCCACTAAGCTGGGCTTTGAAGCTGTTGGTTTGTGAATGAAGCCGAGATGGGAAACCTGATGGTCGATGGTGGCTTATTTACAGCAGACCAACCTTGCTGAAGCAAAAGAGAGAGACCCTTTTCCCCCTTTGACATTCTAAGGTATTGTGTTGCATTGTGTTGACATTAGCGCTGCAGCATCTTTCCGGGAGTTGTAATTTTGCCCTGGTTTGGGAATTTGGCAGTGTGGCTGATGGGTGAGCACCGACACAGAGGAGGGCATCAGCCGTTTGTGGTGCTGAGCTGAGCACTGGGATCAGCTGGTGGGAAAGAGCCCGAGATGCTGGGAGTGGATCCAGTGTTAGATCTCTAAAACGGAATGCTACTTCTGTCTGATTGCATTCCCCTCTCCTAATTCTTTTTTAATATGAATAATAAAAAATGCTGCTTCTAATCTCAATAAATACTCTCCTAGAATATAGAGTGATGAGTGGGGTTGGCAAGGGTTAGGGAAGCATCGGCTTAAATTAAGATTTTTTTAAAATAAAAATTATAAAAAATAATACAGGCAAGATACAAATAAAGAATAAATACTTTCTTCAAGTATTTCTTTTTTCTTTTTTTTTTTACATTCTTCATATACATATATTTTTATTCTTGTGTCTAACGGAAGTATTTTGATTCCACATCTGAGCGAAATCCTCTATTCAACCTGCGTGTATTAAAATGCGGGGAAAACAAATTTTAACATTGGAAATTACAGAACCTAGGAATGAAATCCAAACATTTACTTGATGATAGAACTGCAGCAACTCCTTGTATTAACACTGTTCAAGTTATCAAGTTTTATTACTATTTAAGCCAACTCAGATTATCTTCCATTCACAGAGAAGCATTGAACAAGATAACAGAAACACTATGCTATATTTATTCTTTATTTGTATCTTGCCTGTATTATTTTTATAAAAAAATTCAAGGCAGTGAATATACCTTCGTCCTCCTATTTGCCCCACAGCAACAATCCTGTGAGGAGGATTGGGCTGAGAGAGTGACTGGCCCCAAATCACCCAACTGATTTTTGTATCTAATACAAGCCTAGAATTCCCGATCTCCACTTTTCTACTCCGGAGCCTTAATTACTAGATCAGGTATTAGCAATTGAGTTCTGTTCTATTGCAATAAAATTGCAAGGAGCTACTTATGTACATTTCTGGAACTGGCCTCAGCTTGGAAGTTTTATCTTAAGGACAGTGAATGCAAAGAATGAGAAATTCTATCAATATGTAAAGAATCAACACTCACCTGAGAGCATGTAATGAATAAATCAAATGTCTATGGAGATTCTCAGTCATCCAGGTCATGGTTGTCCCAAAGGAGCTTTTTCAAGAGGCAATTGGACTTCCTGGTTTTCCTTTGAAGATGTTTCGCTTCTCATCGAAGAAGCTTCTTCAGAGCCAAAGAAGCTTTTTGGATGAAAAGTGAAACGTCTTCAAAGAAAAAACAAAATCCAATTGCCTCTTGAAAAAGCACTTTTGGGATAATAAATCAAATGCAAAGAAATGGTCAATTACCTGAACATGCAACTTATGTTTGGCATTAGCATAAGACAATGCAATCTCGGTCCTGAAAGTGTTAACAGAAGGTCTCAGAAGTTTTGGTTCATCCATATCTTTTCCAGCAAGATTTTTAATTCTCTGAAGCAAACAAGGCATTTGAGTCAGTATGGAGTGACTTTCCACGCTGCATTGACATCTCAGGCTGACAGGCAAAGAAGCAAGCCTACATATTACAGGTGGCCCGTGATGTACAACCACAATTGGGTTAGAATTTCTGTTGTTAAGCAAGGCGGTTGTTAAGTAAGTCATGCCCCATTTTATGACCTTTGTTGCTAAGATTATTAAGCAAATCACTTGCAGTTATTAAGCGAATCAGACTGTTTTGTTAAAGCCAATCTGGCTTTCCCCATTCACTTTGCTGTGGGAAGAGGTCGCCAATGGCAATCACATGATCCCCAAAGACATAACGCAACTTTGTAAATACAAGTTGCCAAGTGCCCAAATTTTGATCACGTGACTGTGTGTGTGTGTGTGGGGGGGGATGATGCCACGGTTGTAAGTGCGAGGACCAGTGGTGGGTTCCTCCCGGTTTGGCCCGGTTCCGCCGAGCCAGTAGCGATGATGATATGACGTCACCGAACCGGTTCTGGCCCCCCCCGCCCCACTCACCTACCCCCCCCGTGTTATTCTTACCTTTTATTTGCCCCCACCCCCAATCTATTGCTGCCTCCTGAGTCCCAGCTGATGACTAGAGGGGAAAAAAACTGTTTAAACTCTTGCCACCGGGCTTCAAAGGGCCACCCTACAGCTGATCAGTATTAAAAGAAAACAAATGAGTAGACCGGTGCCTGCAAAAATAAATAGGTAGACCGGTGCCTGCAAAAATACATGAGTAGACTGGTGCCTGCAAAAATAAATGGGTAGACCGGTATAGTTCTGCAAGCAGTTAAAATCCTGGTAGACCAGTACCTCTGCTAAATCCTAAATAATTGTCACATGACAATCAACCCACGCCCACAAAATAAGCCACGCCCACAGAACCGGTAGTAAAAATTTTTAGAACCCACCCCTGGTGAGGACTGGTTTTTTTTCGAGTGCTGTTATAACTTTGAATGGTCACTAAACAAATGGTTCTATGTTGAGCATGACCTATATTGGTGTCGTGTGAATGCAACCACGGAAGGAAATTACTTTGAGCACCATAGGAACAGCGCTCTAACTAGGTATATCTTCCAAGTAGCTTTGGAATAGAGGTGTCAAACTCAAGTCCCGCAGGCTGGAGCTTAGATCTGGCCTGGAAACAGCAAAGAACCGGCCCACGGTGCTTCTGCTAGCGAAAATGGAGTTTGCGGGGGCCCCCCAGACTCCGTTCTTGCTGGCAGAAAGCTATCCAAACAAACTAAAAACAAATCAAAACAAAAGGAGAAATGTTTCCCCTTTTGCATTTGAGCATGCAAGAAGGGACAGGAAAGGAGAAAGGGAAAGACAAAGAAAAAGAAGGGAAGATGGGAAGAGAGCAAGGAAGGAAAAATAAGGAAAGAGGGGAAGGAAGAAGAAAGGAGAATGAAGAGGGAAGGAAAAAGAAAAAAGGAAGGGAGGGAGGGAGGAAGGAAGGAAGGCAGGAAGGAAGGAGATTATAATGAGAGTGAGGGAGAGTCTGAGGGAAGTCCTGTTTTAGCACTTGGCCACCACAGGTGCCCCCGACACGAGTCCATGCCCACCATGGCCACGCCCCCGGCCACGCCCCACATCCCCCCTCTGGCCCTCTGAGGTCAAACACAACTGATGCGGCCCTCCATGAAATCGAGTTTGACATTAGGATAACAGCACTGAATGAGAGGAAAAAAGGAAAGGGAAATGCTGCATTTGCACATAAAGAATACTGAACGATGGGATTACGATATTCTGTCACGATATCGATGGATTGCGCATTCAGGATGTGAATGAAGGCTTTCTTTCCCTCGTGTAATGTTTTTGTCAGTTTTTGGCACGTCCTGCCAGAAGGTGGGAATCGCTGCTTTTGATAGCTCTGAAGGAAGAGTGTACAGATTCACCGGGGAAAAGTCAGCTGAGGGCATCTTAGATCATGAGGCGTCTGTGCAACCTTCACATTCAGAGACAGCCATTGTCCTCCTGTCTTCCTTGCAGGCCTCCTCCAGAGCTCACCTTTCTGGCAGCTGTCAGAATCAGGACAGAGGAGCAGGTGAGTTTTTGCTTTTCATAAAGGGATCTTCCATTGTTCTCCCCCCGCCACCCCCCCCCTTCCAATTTTTTTAAGGAATTATCTCTTGCATTTCTTTCCAAACTGCCTCCCACATAAATATGACCTGGTCATATTTCCCTTGCAATGGACTTGTTTTTAATTTGCTTTTCATTTGCTATCCCTCTAAACTGGGGGGTCGGCAACCTTGAACACTCAACGGTCCTAACTGGAAGCCCCCCATTCAATTCTGGAACTGACTGGAAGTCCTGTTCCCCCACCACAGAGTCTCTTCCTAGCGAGGTGTCATTTTTTCCTCTACCTGTCCTAACTGAAAGCCCTATCAATTGTGGAGCTGACTGGCGACAGGGAGCCGCAGCAGAGGGATGAAAGAGCCACATGTGGCTCCAGAGCCACGGGTTGCTGACCCCTGCTCTAAACGTTTAAAAGTTTGGAGCCAGCATTTACCAAATGTTTTTTGTGCATCCATTTTCCCTTGTAGGAAGAAATACTTCTGTTGCATCGATGTCTATTTGCGGTACGGTTTCACAGGTAGTCCTTGACTTACGACCAAAATTGAGCCCACAATTTCTGTCGCTAAGCGAGACATTGGTTCATTTGACTTTTGCCCCGTTTTATGACCTTTCTTGCCCCAGTTGGTTAAGTGAATCACTGCAGATGTTAAGTAAGATGGTTTTTACGTGAATCCGGCTTTCCTGTTGACTTTGCTTGTTAGATGGTCGCAAAAAGGGATCTGCGACCGTCATAAATATGAGTCAGTTTCCAAGAGTCTGAATTTTGATCATGTGACGATGGGGATGCTGCAATGGTCGTAAGTGTGAAAAACGGTCATAAGTCCCTTTTTTCAGTGCTGTTGTAACTTTGAATGGTCACTTAAACCACTGCTGTAAATCAAGGACTACCTGTATTTTATTCGGAAAAATAAAAAGGCAAAAATCGAAAGAAAAGAAAAAAAACACGAAGATAAAACTAGACAGAGCATTTAAAAATGTGCATTAAGAAAAAAGCAAAAGACAGAAACACATATTCCTATATTGTCCTCCCCTATTTGAATACTGATAGATGTATTATGGTAATAATAGATTTCCCCTCTCTCGCAAAAGAGGGCCACAATTTATAAATTTCTACAAATCTATTTGCAACCAACTGATCAGTCATCTATCTGCTGTATTTTAAAAAAAGGTAGTTAACAAGTAATCCAACAGTGAAGTTAAACTTCAAAGCCCTCTGTTCTTTGTACACCCACTTTCTCTTGTAGGAAGAGATATTTCTGTTCCATTAATGTCTGTTGCCAAAGAGGTTTAGTATGAATGAGTTTTTTGCGGTGATGCAAAAGAACGTCATCCCTCTCCAATTGGTTGCAAGAATATCGGTGCTTTGTTTACTCTGTGAGCCCCTGCGTAATGGATGCTGGGCTGTGTGGGTTGAAGAGAGGATCAGGGGTGAAATGCTACCAGTTCGCTCCAATTTGGGCAAACCGGTAGTGATAAAAACTACCCATTCGGTTGAACCAGTAGTTAAAAAAAGCTACCGGTTCCTCTGAACTGGTATTTCCGATGATCAGCTGTGCAGCGGGGTTTAGCTTTGCTAGAAAGCAGGAAATCCTGCTTTTTAGCAAAGTTAAATCCCGCCAGGGTGGATTTGATTTAAATCGAGTTGATTTAAATCACAATTTAAATCATGATTTAAATCACTAGTAAAAAGCCTTGATTTAAATCAACTCGATTTAAATCATAATTTTTAAAGAGCAACGGTCATCTCTGCTACTCCTGTGACCCACTGTTGACTCACAGATAGTCCCAGTGTTGCAGAATATACAGCCTCATGCTACATAACTAAGCTCCATTTCATGCTGAATAAACTAAATTATTTATGTATCTTAAATAGAAAACTATCTTATGATAGATTTTTACCCCAAAAGTTTTTTATTAAAATAAATTTGATAAAAATCAAAAAAATCCGATTTAAATCAAAAAAATCTGATTTTTTTGATTTTTTAAAAAAAATCATTGATTTTTATCCACCCTGAATCCCGCACAACAGCTGATCTCCCCCCTTGCTTCTACTTACCTTCCCAAACCTCCTTTTGGTGTGTGTATTGCGCATGAACGCACACATGCAGAGTGCGTGTTTGGTGTGCACTATGCATGTGTGGCCACCGAACCAGTAGCAAACCGGTTCGGATTTCACCACTGGAGAGGATGCTATAAAAATTGAAATGCCTTCGCTGGAACCCCAGCTGTAAGCTGCCTTTGCAATGGCAAGAGGTAATCTTTGCTTAACTACCACAATTGGTTGTTGTGGTAACTCCGTCACTGAGCGACTCAGATATTAAGTGAGATGTCACAGGTGCAAAGGTTTACTGGGGGCTTCTCCAAGACTCTGCTTGGGGAAGGCAGTTGCAAAGACCACAAATGGTGATCAATGACGAAACATCATACGGGTAGTCTTTGATTGACAGCCAGGTGGTTGTTAAGTGAATTCAGCTTCCCCTTTTCATTTTGCTTGTGAGAAGCTTCCTGGGAAGGTTGCAGATGATGCAACCTTCAACCTTACGACTGGATGACGGTCGGAAGTGTGAAGAATGGCCAAAGCCACTTATTTTCAGTGCAATTGTAGCTTCCAGTGCTGCTAAGCAAATGGTTGTAAGTTGAGGATTGCCAGTAAAAGCCTGTCAGTTGCAAAGCGCCTGACTTTCTATCACATGACCATGGAGACATTGCGATGGTTCTAAGTGCGAGGACCAAGTGGTAAGATTACTTTTTCACTGCCGTTATCATTTCAGTCCTAAAGTCCTAAAGAGGGCTGTTTTGTTGATTGATTATTTATTTATTATTTAGCATATAGCATCTACATAGGTCATGCAACTACCGATACACAAATTTAGTTTAAAAGAGGGCAATTTAGTTCAAAGTTTGGTTTTAGTTTAAAGAGGGCAACTGTTAAGCAAGAACCAACTGTATTTTAAGTTGCAGCGCTTTTCACTGCATGCAACTGATTTAAAGTAATAAAGTAACACGGTAACAAAACTAAATTGCTCTGAGATAACAATTGGTGATAAGCCCTAAAAGAATAGCTTCAATGAGAATCTGTACCTGTTATTGTTGTTAGTTGTGAAGTCGTGTCCAATCCCATGGACAACGTTCCTCCAGGCCTTCCTGTCCTCTACCATCCTCTGGAGTCCATTTAAGCTCACGCTGACTACTTCAGTGACTCCATCTAGCCACCTCGTTCTCTGCCATCCCCATCTTCTTTTGCCCTCCATCGTTCCCAGCATTAGGCTCTTCTCCAGTGAGTCCTTCCTTCTCATTAGATGGCCAAAGTATTTGAGTTTCATCTTCAGGACCTGGCCTTTTAAAGAGCAGTCAGGGTTGATCTCCTCTAGGACTGACCGGTTGGATCGCCTTGCAGTCCAAGGGACTCTCAGGAGTCTTCTCCAGCACCAGAGTTCAAAGGCCTCCATTCTTTGGCGCTCAGCCTTTCTTATGGTCCAACTTTCACAGACATACATTGCAACTGGGAAAACCTAGAAGTTCACAATTCTATGACATCTGTGAAGATTAGAATTATCTGGCCTTCTCTAAATGTTGAGACTTTAGAAAAGAGTAAAGAGAAAAGCAACAAAGATGATTAGCAGACCGGAGGCTAAAATAGATTTAATTTAATTTAATTTAATATTTAAACTTATATACCGCCCTTCTCCTGAAGGACTCAGGGCGGTGAACAGCCATAAGTAAAAAACATCAAATACAAAATATAAAAACAATTTAAAAATGAATTAAACAATTTGGCCCGACAGTTAAAATCCCCCATTAAAAATCCAAATTAAAATACACAATTGAAGAGATTAGGCCAGCCCGACTTGATGAAATAAAAAGGTTTTGAGGGCCCGACAGAAAGTACGTAAGTCCGGAATCATCCGTATCTCCGGGGAGAGCTCGTTCCAGAGGGGAGGTGCTCCCACACAGAAAGCTCTCCCCCTGGGGGCCGCCAGTCGACATTGTTTGGCCGACGGCACCCGGAGGAGCCCCTCTCTATGGGAGCGTACTGACTGGTGGGAGCTCTCGGTGGCAGAAGGCGGTCCAGTAAATATCCTGGCCCTAAGCCATGGAGCGCTCTAAAGGTGCTCTAAAGACGAAGAACGGTTGCAAGAACAGGCATTGTTTAATGAAAAAAAGGATTTAGGGTGACCTGATAACAGTGTTCCAATATTTGAGAGGCTGTCACAAAGAGGAGAGGGAGAACTTATTCTTCAAAGCACCTGAAGGCAGAACAAAATGCAACGGATGGAAATTACTCAAGGAGAGATTCAACCTAGAATTAAATAAACATTTACTGATATTAATCAGTGGAATGGCTTGCCTCCAGAAGTTGGAGGTTCTTAAGAAGAGGTAGGACAACCATTTTCTGAAATGGAATGGAGTCTCTAGCTTGAGCAGAAGATTTCAACGCTGTTATTCTGCTAATAACAGTCATGTTATTTAGAGATGCTATTTAAAGAAATCTGACTTGGTACAATCTATGAACCCGATCTGGATGTCAGATTATGAGCAGATCTCATTTGAAAGCTGGTTATTGATGTTAAGTGTCTTCACATTTGAAATGACACGTGCATAATTTAAAGCAAGTGTCTTTTAAACAAGAACAGTGACCTGTGGATTTTTAGATCCTGCTGAACTACTTCTCCCAACATGCCTCACCATTGGCTGTGTTTCCTAGGGCTATTGGGAGTTGTATTCAGTAACATGGTGACAGCAGTAGTACTGTCCGGCTTGTGATTAAAGACCAGCAATGAAGGAGAATTCTCCGTTTCATGTGGCAGCCTGTTCCATTGGCTGACAGTTCATACTGTTAGAAAATTCCTCTACATCTTTAGCCTCTCAACCTCCTTTGTAGTTTTAACTGTCTGGTTCTGGGATAACAGAGAATAGATTGATAGGCTGTCCTGTCTGAGGAAAGAAAAATAAATCAGTTTATTTCCA